CAGCAAACGAGAAAATAAAAACAGTTCAGAAATTTCATTACAAACGGCATCAATATTAAAATGTATATTGGATATTATTCTGTTGTTATGGAAAATTTTTCAAAATTCTGATAATCCATCAGAAATGGTATGTATTATATTCTACAAAAAATGAAGTACCAATTATATGAGTTTTTAATATATGTTAATTTTTGTGACATTTTTCAAAATATATTAATGTTGCTTAATAGTTGATATGCATTAAATTAATTTTAAAATTTTTTCTGGTTTAATTTTTAAAAGTTTAAATTTTCAAATAATAATTAAGTTTGAGTTTGCACAGTTCAAGAATATAACTTAAGTTTCACCCCTTTACTACGGAAAAAATTCATTTACAAATAATTTACTTTAGTCAATATCAATATAAACAATTTTTTTTTAAGTAATAAATACCATGTGTATTAAAGATTGTGATTTAGCTAAACAGTTCATGTCTATGAAGTGTATATTTTTTGACATGAAGCATATTTCATATCAATTTGATAAAATTCGCCTTAAATTTTACAGATTGTTCATCATAATTATTAATTCTTTTGAAGTTTTGACATAATATACATTTATTTACTAATTATTTCTATATTTTTTTTTATCTTTTATGATGTTAGATTTACTTTTAAAGTTTTATGATATGAACTACTAAAGAGGTAAATATCTAGAATAAAATGTGGAAATCCAAATGGAAAAACTAAAATATAATAAATAAAAATCAAACTCAAACATCTGGTATGACTCATTTTCAATTTAACCTGGGTAGAATGGGCAACTTAAAATTTATTTCAGTCTGATCATAGAAGATGTGTTGCATCCCACAAAAATTGGAAACTGAAATATTCAGGAAAATGTGAATGCTGGGTTTTCAGTCAAATTATATGTAGCCACTATAAAATCTTCTATGAACAATCTGTGAAATGGCCTATAAAGCGCCATTCATCTGTGACTTTCTTGCCAATTGTGATATAATCAATACTGAAAAATGACCTATGATCACAATACCTTATTTATTATACCTTTTTTTTTTTTAGAACCATCAGCATATACTATTTTAGTTCGACATTATTCCTTTATTTATTTCATTTGTGTGTATTTATTTATTTGTAATTATTAAACAACTGTTTGAATATACTCACACCAATGTTGTAATAATTTATGTAATATTGCATATTCAGATGACTTGGTTCAGCATCAATTATGGCCCTAAGATTTGTCAAACATTTATATCAAATGGTTTTCCCTATATTACACTCAATAGTGGTGGCCGTACTCCAGATAAAGCCAAAAAACACAAGACCGACACAGATGTAGTTTTGGATTTATTTGGAGACAGTATGGTACAATCTGACATAAAGTGTTCCAAACAAAATATAGATCTGTGCCTTATATATTTTTTACTCAGTAAATATAAAATATTACCTGTACCAGTCAAAATCATATCTTTATATATTAACAGTAAGCAAAAAATTATAATTTCAAACATTTTTAAATTTTTTATTTTCATTAATTAAATTTTAACAATTATTTATATTTTCAGATTCATTAAATTCATACAAGTCAATTGATCACCAATCTTTTGTTGTGCTAATGCATTGTTTAGAAACTGTATCTGACAACAATGATTTAATTAAACCAAAGGACTCCTTTGATTTGAATTCTGTCATAGAAAAATTAGTTGTTATTCACAATGAAATGGTTACAACTGATAGTCGTCATCGTCAAGAGAAAACTAAGTTAGTGTTTAATTACTTGTGTTCAATCACATCAAAGACACATTTAAAAATAGCTGAAGAGTAAGTTATGACGTTTTATTATTTATCTAGTTTCCTAACCTAATTTATTCATTAAATGCATTGTTATACTTTTCATTTTTTTCAGAGTTGAAGAATTTAGTAGCTGGCTGACTTTATTACCAGAATTCTTGTGCCAACGTAAAATACCATATCATTTAGTGAAAGCTTTATCGAATGTGGCAAGATATAATTTACCAGAGTTCACTAAATCATTATATATGTTAAAGCCAGCATTATTGGGTAAGTGATAAAATATAGTGTGTTTCTAGTTTAAATGTTACCTATACATATTTTAATTTTTTTTTGATTGTATTTTTAGACAATGTTGACATTGTAGCAGACAACAAAGCTGACAAAATTAATGGTCAGACTTTATTGAAAGATATGATGTATACACAAAATGATTGGGAAAAGGAAATTGGACTTGTTAATTAATGTGTATTAACATCAATTTTCAAATTGCATACGTTTGTCATACACGTAATGTTGATAAATCTAAGTTAACTAATATTTGTTATTTATGTTTTTGAGCAAAATTATAAAATCATGGAATAATGATAAAAAATTAATTATTTAATGATAACAATTTTATTTTATTTAAATTTTAAATTTATTTCAGTTATAAGTTATATCAACAGGATATATATCATTAATTGTTTATAATCTCATTAACAGCCCCATAAATTATATATACAACGTCCTTCTCTATAATCCTTGATATTCCACACATTCCTTTATCTCTATTCTCTTTTCATAATACTAGTTTTGCTAAAAATGTACGTCAATCTAGATTCTAGATCAGTGTCGTTATGCAAAGGACACCCTGGTTTTGATTTCTTTTCAGATATGTTACATAAATTAGTTAAATCTGAAATTGGTATGTATAACGGCTAAATGATTTATAACTATTTACTCATGGTATCTATTATATCTTAGGACCTTATTATTTTCATTTTTGAACAGAATATGTCACAATTATATTCTAGGACCAAGAATCCAGATCATTATTATGTTGCTTAAAATTTTATAGCAACATTTTAATATTGTCTAAGGCTCATAGACCCGCCCTGTGAATTAAAATCGAATCCATAATGGTGGTATATACTATAATTATTGTTTTTGAATATAGCTGTATTTATACATTGGTTACTCAGTCACTTAATCAAAACCTCTCACAAAGCATAATATTATTATTATTATAGGCCGGTCTATGAGTATAAGAATTATGAATGTTGTGCATGCTTATTGTATAATTGGACTCACCCTCAATATATTCCAATGATTAAATTACTACTATTATAACCACAGCTAAATAGATAGGTATCATCATAGTCTTTTGATATGCACACCCTGCTCAAATATTTCTTTGTTCCGTTTCTATTGTAGTTCTCCTATAGTTATTTTTCAGTTATTTTAATATTTTATTATAAGAAAATATTAACCAATCAAAAATGGAGAACTGTAACAGGCATCGGCAGATAATTCTCATCCAGTGTGGAAGAGATAGGCATATTTTGAACACTCCATGTCATTTGTGATGATACTTAAAATTATGAGTCATAGTTATGCCTGGGTCTAGAATTTATGTGCAATAGAAAATTTAGAAATATATTTTTTTGAATTGTGCAATGATATGTCAAAAAATATGGTAATTAAAAGATGATCAAATAAATAGGTAGTTAAAATTTATAATTTCAATACAATTACCTATATTTGAATAAAAATAGTAGGTATACAAATTAGAAATGTTATTTTAAAAATAAGTCATTAACTCATAAAGTCTTAACTAATATTAATTATAGTTGAAAATTAAAAATTTAACATAAAAAAATAATGTGGTAGGTACCTATGTCAACATTTCAAAAATGAATTGTTGGATTTTAATTTATTCTTATTTTTGGCAATGCTCCATTCACTATCGTCTATCACATAACATGATTATTATTTTGTTTGTATTTCAATTTGTCAAATTCTCCAGGAAATAAGTTATAATACAAATAATGTTACGATGTTTTGATGTACCTACCAATTATCGGTATTCGCCCGAAATACTCTGTATCAAAAATAACGATTATGAACCCACCTATATTATTGTTTAGCACGTTTCATTATTTATCCAGCCACTAAATACCGATGGATATATACTATTATTTATTTACCTTGTCCTATATATTTTTGATTCATTTATATGTAGGTAATGCTACACAAAACCATAGACCTTATATACTAATATAGGTACTGCTAGACAAGAACTATGTACCTATAACAGCAGAATTACGAGCGGCGTAACAACATCTCGCAGTGATGTCGGCTGTCTTCAAGAAAAAATACAATAATCCATACATGCGATTTACCTTACCCTACTATCCCTGACTTTTGCGCAGACGAGTTTCGAGTAATCAAAAAGCGCCTTCTATGTTGTTACGCTTTCCATACATACAATGCTTGTCTAGTAGTAGGTATACGCCACGAGCCCACGATGTCTATGAATGAAACTAATATACAAATGTATTATACATACTTGTTTTATATCGACAACGCGTAGTGGGATTTAGACCATAACATTTTGGTTTTACTTGTGACGATGGTCTATACGATTGACGCATAGGCGAAGTTGCTGCTCCTTGACTTTTGGCCCTCGAGTACTTATTTTATAACTTTTATTTGATATTTGTCAACTTATTACCTCTGTAGCCAACTTTTTCCGGCCCAATCCTACATAATATTATGGTCACGACATAACAAAAAACTGATCCAGCAGGCCCCCGTACATTTGTCTATCTGCTGCACATTAGCGCAACTAGACATTTGAACTAGGGGGTGCTTAAGCTTCAGGTTTTTTTGTGGCTCAATGGGACCTAACACCATTATTTACCTGTATGTTCGCCTATATTAACCACTAAAACAAAACAAAAACTATAATTCTGGGTCTACACAGGAAAGTACAAATTGTTTTTAAAAACAGAAGCAAAAAATGTCATACTTGGTGTGGGTGCAGCATAAAAAGTCCCTTAAAAGTAATTTTTTTAATTTAATTTTTAATTTTTTTACTAATAAGAATATATTATATCAATTTATATGTTATTATATTTTGTACGTGGTATATAATATGCTTTATTCATATTTTTTATTATAATGTTAAATCTATACGACGGCGGTCTTTCTCTGAGTATTTGTCTAGTATAATATCGAGGTTAAGATTATTAACAATATCTCTCTCGATGTGCAATATAGGAAGATTACCGAAACGATCTTGTGTCATAGATGTTCTAGTCCAGTTTTTGATTCGACGCATGATGGCTGAGAAAGATCGTTCACACGATGCAGAACTGATAGGTAGTATCAGGGCTACTTTAAGTAAGGAATGAATATTAGGATAAACTTCTTTTGAAATAATTGTTTTTAATTCTTCTAAACCAAAATGAAGCAGTGCTGCACTGCTACCACAGTTTCAAGTTTTGTTAGATTGGTTGCCACAAAATACTTTTTTTTATTGGTCGTGAGCCTCTCAACTATTGAACTCTGGCCAATAACCATTTCAGAGGTTACGTTTGTGGAATTGGTACGGTTGGTTAGGCGTTAGGCCATTTCGTGTATTTGTGGCTAGGTTTTCATCACTAAGAACCTCGGTGGTCACCCATCTCGGAACTAGTTGTAGCGGACCGCGCGTACTCTCAGTAACGCTGAGTGACTGATTGCAGTAATCGTGCCACGCCAAGCCAACACCAGCAAAATATTATTTTTCAGTCAATCATTAATATCGTATCTTGAGCACATTTGTCACTAGTTCAGAAATCGTTAGAAGTTAACAACAAAAATCAGGAACTATCATAATCTGTTGTATCTACCTATATACCATTGTACAAGTAGGTAAGTTGTATAAGTGTTTCCAGCGAACACAGTATATTACTTCGACGTCAATTAGATCACTGTAGTAGTGTAGTAGCCAGTAGGCCAGTAGATAATCAAGACGTGTTCAATTTGAATCAAGAATCAAATCGGATTATTTTTTGTTATGTCATCATATATTTTATAGCAAGTTGTCTGCAGTAAGCAGTTTCACTATTGATGTGTATGGAAATTACCCACGATAAAATTTGTAAAGTGATATTTAATAAACCTACTTATTAATTTATTATAACCCAAATTTAGTGCTTTTGGTGTTGGAAGAAAAAATAGTAAAACGTAATGAGTATCAAATATTTAAATAATTTATTTACGTAATAAAGCAGAGTGACACTCATCTCACTTTAAGCCAGTATGGACGTGCAGTTATACATAGTTGTTATTGTTATTTTAAAATGTACACTCTTCAAGCCAATCCTAAGTCATTGAATTCGAAAATAAAAAAGCGGCATTGAGGCGTGGGTAGGTATACCTATAAAACATTTTTCGTATGTTGAAGATAAACATTAAGGTAACAATTATTCTTCTTCTCTCAGATGGCATAGTGTCGTGATATAAGATGACGTGCCTATGCGCATAGACGATTGTAGATTATACATATTACATTAGTACTAAAATTAATTTTTCCCTTTCATTGTTTTGAGCATGACCGTGACAATGTTGAAGGTTGTGGTCATCACCTGAAATTAAATTGATATTAGTACCAGATGTAATGTATAACAATGTGTCTATTAATATTTTGATGTAATATGTTTTTATGTAAATATAATTGTATAAAATGATTACGCTAGAAAATAGTTGTAAGTTAACGATTTTATTCGGTGTAGCTTTTATCTTTAATTTATCAGCATTATTCAACTTCATGGTTAATAACAATAACTTTTTAAATTTTATATCCATCTTCGTCCAATCACAAGAATATATTCCAAAGTTGACGGATTCTTTCTGCATTTAAACACAAAATTAATATTTAAAAAAACTCCTACTAATCTAAAAAGGTAATTGTAATATGTTTTACTTTATCATTTAGAACGTCAAATAAATAACAGTATAAGTACAATTGAATTACAAAAACAAAAAATGCTGTTGATATCTTAAGTATGTTGAAAATAGAAAATGATTCTGCTGACGAACAAATCTATCAACAGAATGAAATTAGTATATTCATTAATCATCATAATAATATATGATGGTGGATAATACTTATAATATATACAAATCCTATACATAATACATTTATACCTATGAATTACACGTATTTTATTATTTATACCTATGTTTTCGCTTAATTATTACAAACGAAATTGAGATTAGTTTTAAATTAAATAGCCATACAAATTATACAAATAATTAACAAACAATTAGTAAAAACATTCACTCAATGTGGTGACGAGTTTCCCACTGACCCACTTTATTTGCCATTAACGATAGTTACTCGCAGTATAAGTATGGACCGATGTGCCACGGTCCACGGCTGTAAACACACTACAATCAGGACAATTAGGTGCCTATAAATGGTCAAATATTTATTAAAAATCGTATTTTCATTCTATTGACGTAACTATAATTATGGTTAGTAGGTAGGCATATACTTATAGGAATTTATAAGAAATCATCGTAATTTATCGATCGTACCCTATCATTAAGAGTCAATACCATAACAATTAAATAGCACACATATTATACAACACCTAGTACCTACCTATATAAGGACAAAATTACAAAATTACAAGAGTATCATACATTTATTGTTTTATTATTACTATACCTACTTAAATGTGAAATTAATTTCGGAAGCTGAGCTTAAGATATTTTACAGCCCTCCACAAGTGTGCAAAGGGGTTTCAAATGATGTGAATAGGGAAGTAATTAGTTGGTAGTACTAAGCTCCTCAAAATATTTATAAGTCTTTTCAAAAAAATATTCAACTTGGCACTTGCATGATTAGAAAGTAAAAATACGGAACTGTAGAAACGAAGAGATATATACATATTAGGTAGGTACCTAGATGATAAAATAAGAGACTGCGTCTATACTCATCTATACGACTTAATTCGCCATAAATAAAAAAAAAAAAAGAAAGACAAAGCTAAATCTTGGAATTGTTTGAGTAAAAATAGCAATGGTTTTTCATAATTCATAATTCACTGTCTATCTATATCGAATTACGATTTGGTTAAATAAGGCAGCAGGTAAGCATATAATAATATAATGTCAAAATAACAGGTTCCTATTGGTGTTCTCAAAACTACTGACTTTAATTACCACTAATATGTTTTCTATATTAATTGTAACTTGTAAAGAGTCAAAGGTGTTGTGGAAATCATAGGAGTCAAAGCTTTCTTCTCAACTCAAGAATTTGGGAATTGTTCTCTATTGTTCGACCCTCAAATCTTAATTTAGCGTAAGAAACATTCTATGGAGCCCTTTTACTATCACTGCAGTGACTCATAAATTTTAGAGTGAGTTTAACTTCAAATAAATTTCTTTTTCTTTGCAGGTGCACGATCTTTGAATATTTACCACTCTATCTTATATCTACAATCTACAACTACCATACGTTAGTTAGGTTAGATGAGGGATAGAAGAATTGATGCTGACTTCAGAAAAACGTATATTATAACGGTTCAACTGATGCACTATTTTTCCTCTCTCGTATATCATAATTAGTAAAAATAGTTTATACATTTGCATTGTTGTAAGTTTGTAAGGCAGAGACAACATAATATATGGGTTCGGCGTTTCCTTCTAATATAACCTTAGGTTCTCAGTCCTTAGTTTCAAATATAAATACAAATTATTTTAGTACATTAAACATTACCATAACAAATGAATATGTCAATATTATTAATAAAACTGAATCTATAATAATCAGAAATATAACTATAATCCACACCACATGATAGAATGATTTCAATTTTCTGAAAAAAAAAAAAAATTATAATTTATTTGAACATTGTTGTTTTAAAAGGTAAGTATCTGATATCTCTAATTGTTGGACTTTTTTCATATTTTAAATTTAAATATCTATCTAAAAGTTAATTTTCAAATTCAATGAATACCTAGTACAATACTTGGAAACAATGGACACTATTGATACACTTAAATAACTACTATTAGACATTTTTTTAGGTAGGTATAGTATCTATACTATATTACTTTTGTGTCCAAATTTATATTTTATTAGGATTTACATAACACAATAGCTAATAGGATACAAGACTAACATGTACACTTTCTCCTGATCCATTATAATTGATTTGAGATCCTCATATGCTTCAAAACTTTTATTTTCTCTTCCTGAAAATCAAAATAGTATAATTATTATTAATTGTCTAGAGCATATAAATTACCATCAAGGTAGTATACGTATATAATACTCCTTTCCAAAACATGGTATTATTTTATATTTATGACAAGCATTCATACATGCAAGTGTGCAACTATTAAATGGACAAATAGTACTAACAATGTAACTGACAATAATTATTAACTAATTTATGAACGATTTGAATTGAAATAAGAATATAACGGTATTAAGCTTTTGAAATGTGGTTTTTGGGAAGTGAAAAGGAGTAAAAATCTACCAAAACACACATTTTTAGAATATGTATTTAAATGTTTTAATTGCTTTGGTATAAGCATTTCGTGCACGATCTTAATATTTTTTTCAAACTTATAGCATCACCAAATTTTTTTTTTATTTGACTGATTTCGACTTACTTTATCTATTTTGTAATAAGAAAAAAATTACAAACATTTGAAAAAATAAATAATAAGTATACATCTGGATCTGTAGAAATAAATTGGGTTGCTATTTAAGAAAAGTAGGTGAAAACTCAATTATGGGTAACAGTACAATAGGCACGTACCTATACTAATTTACTATTATATAATACTGTTATAGTAGTACATATTTGTATCGCAACACTAAGTTCAAGAATCTTACTACTTTAGCGACATACTGTTTTGAAGGTTTTCAAGTTCGCAGTCGTTTCCAATATTTTCGAACGCTGTGGTAATCACTTCATATTGTGCAATTATAGCCCAGCACAACGATATTAGGAAATTGTCAATGATCATCGAATAATTTAAAACGAATATTCCCATTGCTATTTCCATTAAATAAAATAGGTAATAATAGCGATTGTAAATGCTCGCGGACACCGGATACTGCATGTTGAAAATGTTATGATAACGCTGATTCGGGCCTTCGACCAACACAAAAGTGTTTAATATCAACGGGACAACCATCCATATGATGAATACTATGGTGCTGTAATTTTGGTACAAGTTAGTTATCGTTATCGATGTATCGCGGTATTTAATGAGAATCCCGATATTTTTGCGACACCGTTTACTTGTTAAAAAATCAAGGCGCGCAAGGTCGAACAATTCCCAAATTTGATCTGCGTTATATAGAAGAACGGTAATTTTCAATAATGAAATTACAATTATGGAGTATATGAATATCATTAGTAATAAATCAACACTGTCGATTGAGTTTACGGTATCTGTGAAAAAGCACATTGCAGAAAATATGTTGTAAGTTGTAACGGCCACAATAAACATGACGTTTGTTAACTTGTAAGTGTCATAACTTAATAGTTTTGAGCCATTCGGGTCGAATATATGATAAAATTGGTATCGCTTGAATAAGGCCAAGTTAATTGCTACTTCGTGATCTTGTAACCATTTCATTTTTTGATATCTTTTAGTTCACGCAATCTAAAAATAAAAATAATGCAGTTACGTTGTATGAACAATATACCTAATAATCTACTATAAGTACAATTATTATTGAGTATTTTTATAAATTTAAAGACAATCGGGTAAGTGGCAGTGGTGTAACTAGGGATAAAGTGTTGGGGGGGGGGAGGAGTTAGGTTAGCCTCCACCTGATATTGCATGAAAAGTAACCAGTGACGGCGTTGCCCTCACACCACCATATATAATATATATTTACTTCAATGAGAAACAAAAAAACTATACAAAAAAAGGTGGACAAGTGGGTACCGGAATGCTGTACAGTATTTATCGAGAATATGTCATTGTAATGGATATTGTGTAAGATTTTAAAAATTATTCTGAAGTGGAGACGGCCTGTCATTCTTGTATGCATGTAAAGATAATCAAATGTAATAATTAAAAACCTCTAAATATCAGATATCGTAAAAAGTTTAAAATCAAAAGTTCATAAAAAACGAACGATACTGCCAAGTGAACATTTTTTTTTCGATTGAGGTAGAACAACATATTTTTTATTAATGTTTGACTGAAAAATAATTTGCGAATTTTCTCGATTTGGATCATTTTTTTTTTAGTTTTTAAAAACTACCGGGAATTTCTATCAAAAAAGACGCAGATGTCGAAAATTACAGCATTTTTATTTTTTACTATCCCAAATGTTAAAGCCAGGAAAAAACATATCATTGCAAAACAAATATTTTAGATTCTGAGAGGAGCGACGAATGAATTGATTTTAAAATGATGTGTGTTGTTTACTTAGTTTAACATTTTAAAATTTTTTTTGTGTCTGTCATTACGGTTTGAAGGCAGTAAAAGGGCTTCGATTTTCTTCAACAGCATTTTTTTTGGGGGGTGCATTTGGGAGGTCATAAATTAAGATTGCCAATAGTTTTCAAAAGCGACAGGAAAAACAAATAAAATGTTAAGGAAAAACTGGAATTTTTACGCAAAACCAGTTTTAAGAAAAAACGATTTTGGTTTTAGAGTACAAGAGTACATCTAAAAATTAAATGATCATAGTTACATGAAATTTTCACTGAATATTTGTGTGGGCATTTTCTATTCACCATACAATTTTCAAAATATTTTGACTTGTGTTTGAAAAAACATCAAAAAATGTATCAAATTATATATTAAATTAACAAACATTTTTTTCCATTTTATACGGACCTAGATTTGTCTTGATCTTTAGAATACTTATAGGTATTACACTTAAAATGTTTGCTTGTACAGAGTCCATAATTTTCTGCCTACTTTCAGGTATTAGAATTAGAAATAAACTATACTATACATACTAATTTGATGATAACAATACTTAGGTACGTAGTAATGAAATAGGTATAAATAAGGTACCTAAAATAATTTTTTTGCCTAACATCAAATGTCTATTGATTAAAATAAATAATATATTTTCACCAATAAACTTTTCTTTTTTTAAAAATGTTTGAATGAACAAATTTTTAGCTAATATAGTCTGATGACGGGCACAAAAAAAATATAAATATAACTATTAGATATAATAGAATATTGATTACCTATATTAATCAATTAGGGATATAACTGTTACTATACAAGAAATTTCATGGTCATCGTAAAATCTAATGAAATATTATCAAAAATTTCATAAAATTACTGATTTGTACACATGTGAATCAATGTGAACAGTTATATGATGATAAATTGATAAGTAAAAAAACTTGCACAGAAATTCGTAGTACGAATTTCGTACACTTTTTTTACCCGGAAATGCAGGAACCTATATTCTAGAGCAGGGGTCGGCAAGTTATTTCTATTGGAGTCCTAAAGATTAAAATAATAAATCAATGTGTTCCAGTGAAAAAATCTTTTTCAAATCTTTATATTTAAAAAAAGCAGTATAAAAATAATAATGCCGTTTTAAATTTCCACTTTGAATAATAGCGACAGTTGAATTGCAAGTTATAAACAGACTGGAATGGCTCCAACTCTTTGAGGCAATACAAAACAATATAGTTCTATCCAATCGTTCATAAAATTCCTATTTTCGGTGTCAATTTTACGTGTCTTACTCAACATATTAATAATTATAAGAAATAATATACATGTTGACAGGGTCCATTATTTTTCCCTGTTCCGCCAGTTGCCAACCCTTGTTCTAGAGTTTCCTTTATGAACTATTTAACCATCTACCTGATCATCGGAGGCAGCTATAGTGTCTGACGTAGGTATATAGCCATATAGGTAACCTTTTTGTTTACGATAAAAATGGGAGGTAACTAGTATGGACCGGTATAATTATCAACGATTTATGACAAGAAGTAACTTAGAGGTGCTGCTTAATACGAAACAATTGATGTAAATCGTTATGGTTATTAATAATATAAGTTTGAAAACAAATTTTGAAAAGGTAGAAATGAAAAAAAATACACATGAATTTTATGTAAGAAACATGTTACAAACAAAAATATCATATTTTTTCAATATGTAATAAACAATAATATTATATAATGAAAATAAACTTTACTTTTTGATAACATAAACATAATTCAAGTTGAGATTTTGTGAAATAAATCGAATAGATTGTAAGCTGCTGTGTAATAACTAATTTTTTAATGTTGCTTGTTAGACTAATGGTTTTTAAGAATTACAGTTTATGATTACAATTTCGTATACAGAGAAAAACACATTTTAATTACTTTCCAAGCCATTTATTCACCATACCACCCTCTTCTTGATAATTAGTAGATATCTACCTACACTACCTACAATTGAGTACAATGTGTCTATAATTATTTTATAATCTTCTATATAATTGTAGTAATTTAATGTAAAACAAACGTATTACGTACCAACCTTCTTCAGAAAATTATGTTTGACAATAAGACATGCTTTTCAAAATATACGTTCTTATAATTCAGAAATGTCTTATTCGATGGCTGGTGTTGTAGCGACTAATATGAAAATGTTTTACTTGCCATTAAGTTTATAGCACCTATTTAAAATTAAGTAATTATTGATTTCGCTAATAATCCACCTTAACTTTTCGTACACTTTAAATTCACAATATTGAATAATTTCTTAAGCTAATGGTCAAAAAATTAAAATATTAATAACTGTGTATAGTATACGAAGTCTTACATAGAAACTCCATAAAACAAATTACCTATATATACGAAATAGTTAGAAAGAACAAAAACGTAATAATTACCGCATAAATAATGCAAAATTGTTTCGGTATTTTTTTGTGAATATTACTTCAAGGTCATTATTGAGTTAGAATGTAGTCTTAATAATTATAATAATTCGCAAGTGCAAGGAAGAATTGAAAAACTGAAGAAAATATATATTTACCTATGCGGCTATGACCTGTGACCTATATCGCAGGTTTAGCTTTATAGTGAAAAGTAAATTGTATTTTATATGAATTGTGTAAATTGCATAAATATAATAAATATATCATGTATATGTGTATAGTATATTGCACATATAAATGAAATAAATATATTCATAGAAATTATTAATTAATAAACAATTGCTGCTACTTATTTTCAGTGATATCCTCAATAGTTTTATTAATGTCAAGACATTTTGAACGCATTATTATGGAGTCCACAGTGTCGCTGAAGTCCCAACAGTTTTATGTTGTGAACTTACTACGATGAACGAATATGACAATATTATTAGATTACTTACTTAGAATCTATTCGTGCATACAAATGCAATTGCAAGTGCAATTGTTTTTATTTTTAAATAAATGAACAAAGTTTTTCATTATAATATTATTTACAATATGAATATATTAGGTTATAAACGAATAATAATAAAACAAGCAAAAATAATTTTGGTGAAAGCAGTCACTGTCACACATTGGTAACACATTATCTTCATATACATTTTAAATTTTCTAAAAGATAACGACATCACATTCGTTTTAAAAGAATTGGAGAACTAACTACAGTTATTGTAAAAGAGGCTAGATTTCGGATGAGAGAATTTGTAAGAATAAATTAGATTTACAATGAAAATAGTGCATAATCGGTAGGTATCAATGGTATCACAAACTAGTAAAATGTACATTAATTATAAATTAAAATTCATAAATTGTAATATGTAAAAAAAATATTAACTAAGACAAATTGGATTCTTAAACTTATATTTTGTTTTTTAATATTATACAATGATATTTCAAAATGACTACCTATATATCATTGTAGATTCGACAATGCTTATTTACACGTGGCTCTGGATGAAAATAATAAGGCCAACGTGTGTAATGAGTTGCTGAACCCTATGTTAGGTCATGTTAGTTTCAAATACTTATCTTACTTCTACTTAAATACATTTTAATTTAATTATAAGATGTATATCGAATTTCATAAATCCGTGTGATAAATTTTCTTATTCATAAAAACCATAATTTATATTATTTGTGTATTAATTTTTCTACCAAATATCAATTTATTTTCTACTTAGATGTGATTTTACTATAATATAAGATACCGGAAATAATAAAACCACAGCAGTAGTGTAGCTAAATAGCCTATCTAGAACGCCGCTTGATCAAAATAATTTTTATTCTTAAATTAATTTAAAAAATATGAGAATAATACATAGGAACTTTTGAGTATAACTTATATCTTGCCATTTTGGTGATTAAAAATATTAACTTTAAACAGCTTAAATTTTAAATCGCATGACTACTTTGAGGGCTCCATACGCTGTCTGAATTTTCAAAATTTCCCGTGACATTATAACACTTAATTCATTATAATTGTATCTTGGCATTTAAGTTGTTAGAAATATTATTATTTACTATCTTTAATATTTTACATGTCATTCTGAGAGTCATCATGTTTGTTTTCATGTTCAATGTTTTCAAACGCCGTGGTAATTACTTCTAATTGAGAAATCATTGCCCAACATAAATATATTAATTATTGATTATTATTTTTAATTGAATAGTACATCATGAATATTCATAGTTACTTCA